TGTACTTAAAGCAATACTTCAGAGTTTTTCCAACCTAATCTCCGCCTGTCGCCTGTGTTAAATGGTCGACTATGACGGAAAATGATTTTAACATTTTAACGTCTTTAGAAAAGAACAGAAAACCCACTGCCTCAAAACTCACTTACAGGGAGGAGGAAGAGCTATTCAGACACTTCTGTTTTTGTTATTTAATATTTAATATACCTTCAGTGCATCTATCCACCTCAGATTTACCCACATCTTTTCACATACTTACACATATGAACAAAAAAGATACGTATTCATAAGCATGAACAAAAATATGTTTAAAAAACAAGACAGAGCGAAAAATATTCAGACACAATCAGTAATGCTTTTTAAAATATTTTCTTGCAAAAACAAACAATTTCAGCTTCAAGACATCTAAAGTATGATATCATGATGCTCCCACCACCGTACTTCACTGTGGGTGTGGTGTTGGAGGGATCATATGTGCTACCCTTCTTTCTCCAAACATGATGAGTTGCCAAAGAGTTTTATTTTTATTTCATCTGACCAGTACATTGTTCCAAAAGAGTTCTGATTTATTTACAGTGCCCTCTACAAATATTGGTACCCTTGGTAATCATTGTGCAAAATGAGCTGTAAAAATACTCTTCATTACTTACCCTTTTGATTTTTTTATTTAAAATGTGAACAAAAATCTAACCTTTATTTAAGGTATAATGACAAAGAAAAAATCTTATCATGAAATAAATATTTTTCTTAAATCTATGTGTGCCACAATTATTGGCACTCCTAGAAATTCTTAACAGTGAAATGTAACTGAAGAATAGTCTTTTATGGTTTTAAGTGCACCTCTGCGATTAGGAACACTTAAATAGTCGGCTGTGACTTCCTGATTCACTGGGAATATATATGAGATGAACCCTAGGCTAAATTCCCTCAGTCATCCAACACTATGAGAAAGACCAGAGAATACAGCAGTGATGTACGACAAAAGGCTGCTGAGCTGCACAAATCAGGAAATTAGGCTACAGGAAAACGGCTACAGTTGAAAATACCCATTTCCACTATGAGGGCAATAAAGGCAAGTTAAAAACAACTGGAGATGTCAAGAATCTGCCAGGAAGAGGACATATATCTATACTGACCACACACACAGTGAGGAGGATGATTTAAGTGGACAAAGAATCTCCAAGGATCACAGATGGGGAATTGGAGATGTTAGTTAGGTCTTGGGGTCAGAACGTCTCCCAGACTACAATCAAACACCACCTATATAACCATGAGCTGTTTGGGGGGGTTGCCAGAAGAAAGCCTCTGCTGTCAAGACCCAACAATCTCAAGCTCCTACAGTTTGCCAAATGTTACTGGGACTTTTACTGGGGCCGTGTTCTGTGGTCAGATGAGACCAAAATAGAGGTTTTTGGCACCAACCGCCAGAGGTGAGTTGGGTGTGGACACAAAGACAGCCATGCAGAAAAGTAGCTCATCCCCACTGTGAAGTATGGTGGTGGATCTGTGATACTGTGGGGCTGTTTTTATTCCAAAGGCCCTGAACAGTTTACTCACATACATGGTATCACAGACTCCATCAAGTACCAGCAGAAAAGAAATCAAAACCTCACAATCAAAATCAAAAGACTGTCTCAGCCAGGAAGCTTAAACTGGGCTATAGCTTGGATCATTCAGCAGGACAATCATCCAAAGCATGCCTCAAAATCATCACAAAAATGGTTCACTGACCACAGAATTTAAGTTTCGTCAAGGCTGCTCCAGCCCCCTGACCTAAACTCCACAGCAAACCTGGCATGAGCTGAAGAGGAGAGTCCACGTTGTGGAGCTCAGAATCTGAAGGATCTGGAGAGGTTCTGTATGGAGGAATGGTCTCAGATCCTTTGCCATGTGTCTTATTAAGTGTTACAGGAGAAAACTCAGAGCTGTTATACAAAGTATTAAATGAAGAGGTGCCAACAATTGTGGCATACACAGGTTTGAGAAAACTATTTATTTCATTATAAGATTTAGGCTTTTTTTTATCATTGTACTTCAAATAAAGGTCAGATGTTTGTTAATATTTTGAATGAAAGCACTAAAGAATGCTTTTTTACAGCCTGTTTCGCTCATGTTTATCAGGGGTGCCAATATTTGTGGAGTGTCTGAAGTCTTCCCAACCAATGTCAACATCTTTTATAATGACACCAGGTACAATTTGCAAAAAAATAAAACATTTTTGTTTTTATTTGTGCAGCATTAACATGCCTTTTCATTTTTACCCTTATAAATATGTATATTTTTTATTAGTGTCTGAATACTTTTTTCTCTATCGATTTGGTTTATACAGATGAATACATTAATCCAATAAAGAGGCTGGATTTTAGCTCAGTAATCAGATTTCTTGGTGCATGTAAACTCTTACTCTGATTTCTTTCGGATTTCTCAGTCTGCACATGTGCGAAAACAGACCGCAGCCCCGGAAATAAGCAAGCAGCGTTGCCGCGAAATGACAGCAAAACACTTTTGGAGTGACACTGAAACCAACTACATGCTTGAGGAAATAAAGGACTTAAATGTTCTTCATCTTTTAGAATTCAGTTCAATTATGTTCATATTTTCAGGTTTACGTCACGTCTTCTGAGTTTACTGACTGGATGCAAAACAGAAATCTGATTACTGCCTGACTCATGTAGACCCGGAGTTTCCCCATTATCTGATAACATGGATTGGATTACTGACAAAATCTGATTTTCTGCAGTTATCGGTTTATTACGCACTCATTGTCTGTTTTTTGTTATTTAATATACTTCTAGTGCAGATGTAAAGTGGACATATGCACTAGACGTATATTAAATAACAAAAACAAAGGAGTCTGAATACCTGTTTCTCCTTCACTGTATAACAGAAGTCAATGGCCAGTTGCCCATCGTACTGTTATTGCTTTATCCACTTGTCCGCTACTGTTCCGTATTAAACGTAGCACCCTGGTTCCAGGAGAATTACATTTCACTCCTCACTCCACACCTGACTGTGACCTCCAGGCCTGAGATTGAGAAATAAAGTGGTCTTAAACTGTGACTAGTCTTCAATCCCACTGAAAGGACGAACCACTTCTCTGTGGGGCTGACAGGCATATTTGAGGCTACAGAAAGTGCTCTCATTCCTAACCGCACTGACACCCAGCCTTCTGGCAGCACTAACACACTATCAGATAGATACGGTGGTGATGACTGACTGTGAGCTATAGAGCTGACAGTGTAGCTATAGAGCTAAAGGAGCCTAGCAGAGGTTTAAATGTGGAGAAGAGGAAAGGTGCTGCACGCTGACATGATCAGAATAGCTCCGCATTGATCAGAGAGAGAAAGGCAGTAATCAATCGGTCCTGTCCTCGCTGCCCCGAGCAGGCCGCAGTGCACTATTTAAAGCCTGACCAGACACAGAGCCTGGCATTATTCAAACACATAAGCCATCTTAAAGCCACAGTTCAGCATAAATCCTGATTTACATGTTTTATTTTACCTTAAATGTTAGGTGTTCAGCCCGATACGTTTAGTGTCTCAAATTTGCTTTGTTTTTCAAATTTGCCTAACAGATACTGAACAATGCAACATCACATAGATACAAACGGTACTCGTAGTCATGAACTTCATTTTTATAGAAACAGAGCCAGAAAAACAAATAAACAAGTCTATTTCAGATTACTTAACACTTCAATGTGGTTTAAGATGCAAAATTGTGCCTATTTCTGTTGCTCTTCTGTGTTAATAACACAATTTCTGATTGCTATTGTCACATTTATTTGATATCTAAAGGGTGGGATCTACCAAAGCTGAAAATTCTGAGATTTTTATTTAGTTTGTGTCATAAACTGCCAATTTGAACACACATACACACACATTTTCGTGGTCACTGGGTGGAAGTCAGGGGTAATTTAGCATGGGAGGAACCAATTTCAACACAAACAAATTACATCATTATTTATACTGCATATAAATAAAATATTTATATTATTAATAAAGTAACATGAATATGTATGTAAGCCATACATTTTCCATGCTTTATTATTACTCTAATTGAGCAAATTAATAATACAGGTTTAATGATCTGAACTCTGAATGATCTCAAGCACTCGGATGGGAAAAATAACCTCAAGAGACCTCATGCATATTTTATACAGTGATAGAAAACATGGTAGCAAACTGTAAGTTCTGGTTCTACAAGCTGAAACTGATCAAATGATTTTACTGTTGCCAAAGGGGGACGGACATGCTTAAGCAAGCAGCGTGATGGAACATTTAACTGTCACAAAAATGTGTTTTGTTTCGGGTCCTGGTACCAGGTCTGACAGGTTCATGTGGTTAAAGCAAGCATGAGATCATTTAGGCATGAAGTTTGCACAATGCTAATTGTGTATAAGTATAAGCTTCCATTACTGCTTAGCTACAGTTGCCTCATCCTAGCTGATCAACTACATCGGGTGTGAGGGGAAAACTGTGTGGATTTAATTCTTCACAAAACTGCTCACTTATGGATTCAGCCCTTTGTCTTACTCACTGATAAACTAGGTTGGGTTTATATGTACTATAAAGATGTATTAGCAGTAGTAGAAGTACTGGAACTATTATAGTATAGTAGTAGTACTATTAATTAGTATTAATGGTACTATTAGGACTATTAGTGGTGTTAAATTCAGGTTTTGTGAAATAAGCTATACATAAACCGCACAATTTAATAATTTAACCCCTTATAAGACCAGGGCCCACTGGTAGGCCCAAAGTTTTATTACATACTTCTATAACCTAAGACAAGCCCAGCCAGTTTGCACTGACATCCCTGTAGTTACTGAATAACAAGCCTAGTATACAATAAGACTTTGTTTTTGAGGAGTTAAGGGTATTTACTGTAACTACGAAGACCACAGAAACAGTATTATGACAATGGACAGCAGGACAGTGAGCCCAGAAGGGCAGTGTGTATGGTGCACAGTGCTGCTGTAATTAAAAGCACCCTGAGGAACTCACCATGAAAGAGCGGACCACTACATCAGGCATCTGGGGCAGCTGGTAGTGCAGCAGGGCCGTAGTGGCGTGGTCTGTCACCTGGAGAGAAACATGGGGAAATGCTTTAAAGGAAAATGCTGTTGAAGAGCTGTAAACTGTGTTATTATTGAGTGATGTGTAATATATTACTCTACAATCATATGCAGAAGTTTGGCCGGAGCTCAAAATGACATGTTTTGTTGATTTTCTAAGTAAACACATCCTCTACTGTACTGTTTATTTGCTGAATTTAACATATTGGAGGAAAAAAGACTGTTTTTTGTGGCCTGTGCCTCATTGTGTTAAAACCACAATATAGTAAAGCTGCACTATGTAAGATTTGGGAATGTGGAGACCTCTCTGGTGGAAATGTGTCATTGCATGCAATGTGCGGAAGAAAATTTAGTTTTGCATCGGACCCCTTCCCCAAGTGGATGAATGTGATGATAACTCAGAAAACTCAAAACTTGGTGAAGGACAGGTCTTCTGAGGATGTGAGTGAATTAACTATTATTGTCATTACATCTTCATCAATATAATGTTGATTTTGCATATGAGATCTAAACATCAAGCCGGACCTTCTTTTTGAGGCTGTGCGTGTGACATTAATACGTAAAGACGTATGACAAGGTTCAAAAAACTGCTGTCAAATTCGGCTCTAAGCCTCTGACTTTTAAATTATTATTTCAAGCTTTACAGGGCGACTCGCAAGCAGCGCACACGCACCATCTTTTATATGATTTATATTTATTTAATGTTTTTTTTCTCCTGACCTTCAATTTTAACAAAATTTTCTTATAAGGTGCAGCTTTAAAATTTAATAAATAGATAGAAATTATGCACTTAAACTTGCAGAAAAATGCCACATTTGAGTGTGTTCTCTGTAGAAGATGTGTTAACTTATTTTTACTTAGAAAATCGACAAAACAGGTAATTCAACCAAGGGTGTTCATACTTTTACATGCGACTATATAATACCAATCTCTCTAGGCCAAAATGATTAGAGTCTTTCAGAGTCAATAAATTACCTTATCTCCAACCGTAATGGTCATTAATTTCTCTAAATTTTACACGTGTACCTGTGCAGGACCAAGAGACTATAATTGCTGCACATACAAGCTGTACTAGAGAGACATGAATTGCATTTAGATCAACTGAAAATGTACAAAATCTCTTTTCTTTTACTTGATGATTCACTTTTGATACTTTTAAAATCTTGATCACATAAATAAAAATTTGTATGCAGCTGAAACTGCAAGAGCCAAGAGCTATAAAGAGAACTGAAAAGTCCCGCTGGCTCTTCAATGTGTATGTATTATGACATACAGCACCTCATAATATATGATAATTGTGCTCACCTCGTCAACTCCTACAGCCTAAGACGAGTGTAAGTCTATCGTAAGGTTAAGAAAACGTTTAAGAACGTGCTATTTTCAAGAATGTCACTTATTCTTAGAATTATTCTAAAGAAAATAGTTAAGAACAGAAAATAAGAGAATTCTTAAAATGTTATTTGAAGAATAACAATTTCTCGTAACTTTTTTCTTAGGAATGAAGTTAAGAAAAAACACACATTTAAGAAGGTTTTCTTTCTTAAGACACTTTCGTGGATCCGGCCCCTGGACTACAAAGGATACTTGCATATGATTTTCGAAACAGTATTATTTTTTGTTGTGAACTCACATGTTCTTCTTCATTTTTGTCTGTTCATTTGCTTTCAAGGGGCGAGATCCTACATATTTCTGTATTTTTTTTATCCCTGACATTTATATAATAAAAAGAGTCAGAATTCATTTTAATAAGCTATTTTTTGTTACAATGCCTTTAAGACTGACATACAGAAATGAACTCTGTTCTGATTGGCTGTCCTGTACTGTGGCTCATTCAAAAAGCAGCCCAGGCTGAAACACTCTTTATAACTTCAGCATGAGTGGGCGGAGCTAAACCACAGAAAACAATGTATTCAAATGCGCTAGTTTTAGTGACATGCAAAACTGGCTGTTTTTTGCAGCTTGGTTTCCATATATGGACTTGCAAAGCTGGACAAGACGGCTTGGCAGATGTGACACTGCCCGACAGGGAATCTCAAGGTGCTTCAAAGCGGCTGTTTAAAATACACTGCAGCTATTCCGAAGCTAATAAGCGTATTCACAGGAGGGGCAGTTTGATTCAGTCTGTATCAGATCAAATGTATCATACTACATTAAAAACCCCTCTGAACTTGAAAGGACAAGGGCATATAGACCATCTGATCAAACTTAAGCCCATTTTCAATCCAACCCACCTACACTGAGATTAACAGCACGCTTTCATTTCCCAAAAGCTCTCCATCCCCTTATTACTTCCTCCAACATCTCATCTCCCATCACTAATGTAATTGTCGTGGGGGCTACAAGTGAACAATTTCATTCTTCTAGATCTTTTGCACTTTCACTACACTGTCATCATCCGCCGAGCGAGGTCGGCCACTTTAACGAAGCCGGTTATGTTTTCAGTAGCATTACATCATGTCCTGCGCGGGCTTAACTCTATTCAAACGATCACAAAACTATTTTCCCCGGCGCAAACCGCGCTCTGGTGGGACGTGCGTGGGCCGGGACGGGATGGGCTGAGCTGAAGGGAGGGCTAATTGAGCGAGCAGAAGTGACAGCTGGGAGGAGAAGCTGAGAGGGGGTCCTTCCCCCCCGCTTTCACGCGGCCATGTCTGAGTTAGCATTCGGAGTGAGGGGGGGAAATAAAGAAATAAACAGGTCGCCCCTTTGATCATCCCATCCAGATGTGAGCCTCAACCAGGCGGCTAAAAAATAAATAAATAAATAAATAAATAAATAAATACAAGCTCGTTCCTCCTGTAAGCTGCACTTACTTTCTCCCTGTCAGTCTCACACAGAGCTGCCCTCGCTCTCCCTCTCTCTCTCTCTCTCTCTCTTCTATAGTTCTAATAGTTCTATGTCTCACGCTCTCTATGACACACTCCTCTCTCACTCCAGCATTTCCTGTCCTACTCTCTCCTTCTCTCTTTAGCACTCTGTCTTTCTTTCTCCATCTCTCTCTTCTTATAGTTCTACCTCGCTCACTGACACGCTCTATTCTCTCTCTTTCACTTTAAAGATTTCTCTCACTTTGTCCTTTCTCTCCCTCTTTTTCCTTCTTCTGCTCTTTTTTCCTCCCCTCTTTAATTTTCTCTCTCTGTCAATCTCACAGAGAGCTCCTTCTCTCTCTAGTGCTTTCTCTCTCTCTCTCTCTCTCTCTCTCATTCTCCCTGTTAGTTGCAGTGACACTCTTGCTCTCTTTCTTTCTTTCTTTCTCTCTCTTTCATTCTCCCTATAAGCTACAGTGACTTACTCTCTATCAATCACAAGCTAAGTTTCTCTCTCTCCCCTTTATCTCACTTTCTTCACCCTCTCTCACCCTCCATTTTGCTTTCTCTTTCTTCCTCTCCTGCTCTTTCTCTCTCACCATGTCTTTTGCTCTTTCTCTCTCTCTCTTTCACTGTTTTCTTCTCTTTTGCTCTCTCCTCTTCGTTTGCTCTTCTCTCTCCCTTAAGCTGCATTGACTCTCTGTCAATCTCAAGCAAGGTTTCTTTCTCTCTATCTTGCTCTCTCTCTCTCATTCTCCCTGTAAGTTGCAGCGACACTTTTGCTCTCTCTCACCCATTCTTTCTTCCTCTCTCAACTTTTTTTTCCTCTCGCTCTCACTTCTTTACTCTCCCTATAAGTTGCAGTGACGTACTCTCCATCAATCTCAAGCTAGGTTTCTCTCTCTCTCGCTGTCTCTGCCTTTTGTGCTCCCTCTCTCATTCTCCCTGCAAGTTGCAGTGGCACCCTTGCCCTCTCTCACCCTTTCTTTTCTTTCTTTCTTTCTTTCTTTCTCTCTCAACCTCTTTTCCTCTCTCTCATTCTCGCTGCAAGTTGCAGTGACTCTCTCTGTCAATCTCAAGCAATATTTCTCTCTCCCCTTTATCTCTCACTTTCTACACCCTCTCTCTCACCCTCCCTTTTGCTTTCTCCTTCTTCCTCTCTTCTGCTCTTTCTCTCTCACCTTCTCTTTTGCACTTTCTCTCTCTTTCCTTTTGCTCTCTCTCTCTCTCTCATGCCTGTCTCTACTTCTCCCTCTTTTACTCTCTCCTCCTCTCTTGCTCTCTCCCATTCTCCCTGTAAGTTACATTGACTCTGTCAATCACAAGTGAGGTTTCCTTCTCTCTCTCTTGCTCTCTCTCTTGCTCTCTCTCTTTCACTCTCTCTCTTATTCTCTCTCTCTCTCTCAGTGTGTAAGGTGTGTGCACAGCGCCAGGCTGCAGAGCTCCATCTGCCCAGAGGCTGCCTGTGCTTTAATTCCAGTCTAATGAGATTCTGAGAGGAAGGAACATAAAAGGAAGAGAGTGGCAGATTCCAACCCAGATGTTTGGGGGTTTGGTGGGGGAGGAGGAGGGGATGTTGGTGGTGGACTGAGAAATGTAGGGAAAGTGGTTTTGGAGTAAAACGAAATCAAAAACAGAAAGACAAATGATGTGCGAGGGATAAAAGGCGGGCTGGGCCTGGGTGAGGCCGAGGGAAACGTGAGCGCCATCAGGATGAGAGATGGAGATCTAATTAAGGCCTACTGTAAGATTCCACAGATGAATGATTAAAGCCCCTCACACCAGCGGCCCAGCCAGAATTCGGCAGGAGGGTAGAGCAGGATAACTCTGCTCTCATCACACCCACGCTCACACCACTCTCGCTGATTTAAAGCGTATTACAGCTCGAAATACGCTTCTTCACAAGGTTGCAGTAACTAATGACCACACGCACGCTGAAATAAGGATTAGTGCAGTACCCCCCCCCCACACAATATTGAATTTTTTCCCCTCATGCAAACTATTAAAAGATGCATAATTGGGCTCTGTGCCTAAACCGCAGCTATGCAGATCTACTCACCTTTTGAAATACTTGATAGTTGGATTTCGACCAGATGTCCAGCTGAAAAGAAAAAGATGGATTAAGATTGATGAGCACAATCAAAGAAAATCACTAGTTTGACTCAAAAACCCAAATTATTGTTTTCCACACTTTGTTCTGATTATTTTACAGGTACGACAGAAGAACAACATTCAATTGATTATTACATTTTTGCACACATTACATATCTCAGTGTGGCCAAAATGAAATAAATGTTAGCATCACTACATCTGTTGTAAACATGCTTAATCATCCTGAAGTGGTGCTGTGAGAGTCTCTAGAGTGAGATTTTCCATTTTAAAGGTTGGGAAAAACCCCTTCTGATGATGTATCTTGAAGCTAGGAGGAACCTTTGAAAAACTACAACCACTGCAGGGTCAATTTTTGGTGGTGAACTGTTTTGGATTCTTCTGATGAATGCAAAGAAACACAGATATGGTGCTGTGAAAAAGTATCTGTCCCCTCCTATTCGTGCATATTTGTCATGGTTTCTGCAGATTTTTTTGGTCGACTAAAATATTGGGGATCACGCACTAAACAACTCAACTTTTAAGATGTTGCTGAACCGAACGGAACTCACTGAACTCGCGCGAACTCATGCAAACTTGTGCAACTAGGAAATGCAAATAAACTAACATGGAGCTGCTGCTGCTGCTGCTGTTTTCTCTGCCGTTTGTGCTGACACAGTAAAGAGGCAGCAGGTAAACATGTTTAAGGGCCTTGGATTTAAATTCAGTGTAGTATTTTTAGAGTTTTAAATGTACTCGATTGTAAACTCGGTTGTGTTTGTGCCTTAAACCGAGCTCATTAAAAAGCTTTGCTCAACATGTGAGTGACTTTTCGCCATTTTTGTTTGTTTACTTGCTGTACTTTCTTCTTTCTCACTCTCAGTTTTCACTGGCTGTTGCAGGAAGCCCATTCAGATTGAGTCACTGACCAGTTTACACCACTAGATTACGCTCAGAGTTGGGTCGAAAAAAATCAAACGTTTCATAATCTCCAATTGGTCTGAAATGGGATCGGGAGCCCAAAAATCTGAGTCTGCGCCCCTCATACACGACTCGATTGTCTCTCCAACTGTCAACTCTGACCAACCCAAAAATCTGCAGACTAGAGCCAACTAGCACAGACTCAGCCAGACTGAGAATCGGGGCTTAAATCGGGGTAAACTTTGTGTAGTGTAGCCACAGCTTTAGACAAAGACAACATGAGTAAACACAAAAGTATAGCTTTTAAATGATCATTTCATTTATTGAAAGAACACATATGGCCTTGTGTGAAAAAGTACTGCACCCTTAAACACTCAATGAAGTAATTCACCAAATTTAGTTGATAACCAGGATCAATTAAACTAGACACACTCTGGGTTGAAAACTGCCAGCCCTGTTGAATCTAAACACCACATAATAGGTTCAAACAGAACCTTTCTAGCGATGTGAAGCAGACTCAAAATGTCTCAAAATGCAGCACATTTTGCCATGATCAAAAGAAATGACTGGCTGGATGAGGAGGACAAGAGGCTTAAAGTCAAATTTAACCATGTAGCTTCTTGGCCATCTAGATACTTTCCTCAAGTTTGGCTTCTTTTGACAGGGCTGGGAACCAAGACTTTGTACTTGCAACTCCCTCAGAGGTGAACTGAGACTGTTAGAGCTAGGCCTTCGGTTCATGCTGTAAATGCCAAAACTACGACAATTTCAGTTGCACGTCTATGGCATTTTCAGCAGTATGTTAGCACTAAGCTAGGTGCACATGTACATTTCTTTGCCAAAGACATTTTAAGCTTATAAAAGACATTCAATATTTTATTTGAAACGGGTAACAAACATATTGCCATAGTTTACCTAGCAGTTTTACAGTGACTCAGTAAAGCACTCTAGCATGGGGCTGCCGCTGTTTTTAATTCATAACAACAAGTGACAAATCTATGACTTCGAGAAGGCCTAGAGTGATGATTTTCCCCTCACAAAATTGGTCCCATTCATTGGAAAAACAAAATGTGATTGCTTGATTCCACAGTCATTTCACTGATTATGTTGGTAGTTAATCTAATGTGTAATGCCTTCAGTTCAGCTGCTGAAGTCCTAAGCAACGGAAGAGCCAGCTTGGCTCAGTCTACATAGAAACCACAGAGAAAGAAATCCTGATTGGACAATTTTTCAAGATTTCAAGAATTTAACTCTTTTGTTTCGAACCAAACCTTACCAATGAAAATAGTTAGCTTCTAGAAAACTTGTTTTACAAACATGACGATGCGATTAAGTAAAATGAACTAACATTGTTTAAGATTTAGTTCCACCAAAGACAGGAGCTGTCTGCTTTTCATGAAAAATCATATTTGTTTTTCAGTCCTAAACCCATTATTATTCAGTCATTATATTCAAGACTTATTAATCAGTAACTATTTTAAATTATTGGTCGATTGAAATGTAGGTCCACATATGGACCCTTAGGGTTTAGGTAGTTAGTCTTTCTCTCAAATATATTTCATTACAAATTTCCCTTGACTTTTTCTTGGCGGGAGTGAGGGGGGCAGTCTGTAACCACATATCAAACCCTAAATTTTGAAGTGACCAGTGGCCAGTTGAGTTCCATCATACCTGCCTATCTCCACTGGCACGGGCCTCTGGAAGTCCCATTCTGAGAAAGCTATTAAACCTGCTAGAGTAAGTCCAGCTTTACACTGAACACACCGGAGTGGGCTTTAAATAGTGTTTTCCACCGCCACCCTCGAACTAGAACCAGGAACAACTATGCAGACAGACCTGGACCGATTCCAGGCTTACTTCCATTATAAGCAATGATGTAAAAGTCAGCTCTACTTGGAGAGTTACCGGTAACAGAATACATAAATGAAGGCTATCAGCTGCAGAAAGACATATACAATGAGATAATGATGCCAGCTAGGAGACTGTTATTCAGCCGGTAACGATGCAGTTGCAGGCTGTGCAATGACAGTTTGGCAAACCAGCAGTGTGAATGTGCTAGACTGGCCGCTTATTACTCACATCCTCAACAAGCCCATAAACACATCAGGGAATGACAGCACTCCGTACAAAAGAGCAGGATGGATAGATGAGTCTGTTGTAACGCTGTACAGTGTTGGGTCTTAGTAGAAAAGAGGCAAAGACAGGGGAATAGAGAGGCCTGTGACATATGGCAGAGAAAACTACTTACAAGTGGTTCTACAACAAATTTAATGAGGATGGTCACAGCACTCTGACAACCGCCCGCTTTTCTCCTTTTATTCAGGCTAATACAAAAAAATCAGTTCACTGCCCAAACATTTAAATATTAAAGTGATACTAATCATATCTCGATCTGATCCAATGGATCATATCATATTAAGCCAGACACTGTTCTGACCTTTGTTTTTGCTATCTATTCACGACACTGTCATAGAGGTGCCATAATTAGAAGGTATCTACAAGATGGTATTTTCAGAAGTAAAAATCCAAAAGATGTTTTTTTTTTGCTTCTTTCTTTTCTTTGCTTTTCTTTACATGACTCTACACACAACAATAATCATCACAAAATACACATTGGGGATGATCTGATATGGGGATTATAGATTGATGCCAATTTTTTCCAATATTTGTATGTGTACATCAGCCAATGCCAATACAAAAACAATTATAAAATGTAGAAATTGGGCCTAATTTACCTATGTGAGCTGCATTACAGTGAAATAACAGCGTTACTGAGCGAGCGAAATTTTTAAAAATGCAGATATTTGAACATAGTAGCTCAGCGTGAACTAAGAATCCTGTTCTTGGGATGGTACACCATCCATACTTACACAACATCTACAAGACGTGCATTTTCAGAAGTTAACAAAAGCTGTTTAAAGTCTGCAGTGTGGCGCTATTATAAAGTGGAAAATGAACAGGGCAATTCCATCACATCTGCAATCCCCACGTTCAGCTGTGTTTGAGTGCTGGCTCTAGCCATTTGGGGGTCCTGAGCAGGATTTCATGGCAGCTCCCCATCTTGCTAGCTGATGTACCGTAAAATTAGACACCAACTAATAACAATGACTATCACAAGCTGTCTGAATGATATACATTTATAAATGGCTAATTTTGTGTATTGCTTTGTGTAATGATTTGATGCTTGTTTGGGGTTCTAATAAGTTTTAACTTAATTCACAGATAACCTTATCAGCATTCTGGATCCAGGACTCTGTCTCACCACACAGCATTTCTTGCTTGAACAGCTTTAAGCTCAGTGGGATGTTAAGTGGCAGCAGTGACAGTGTTGCTTTTACACTGCTACAAATGCTTTATCACCTACATATTTAGGCAGAATGATTTCTTTTCTGCCTTGGCGGCGACTCCTCATGTTTGGTTGTTCATCATACATGTCACACTTTCATGTGCATGTGAACAAAGAATAATCACAGCCTTAATCTCTAAACATGGATTAACGGAGAGTCGTTAACAACTGCTGTCAAGTGAGTTTACTGTAGGTGTGTGTGTAAGATTTTGTGAAGCCCAAACAGTCAGAAAGTCTAAGTTAAACCTGCTGCTTTAAACTCTGGATCCACTACTTTTTGTAGTCCAACCACAAAGCAAAACAAATGACATAATAACACCACAAAACACAAAACACACCTTTATTGTTATGCTTTTTCTCATCATCTTTTTCTTTTATATTTTTGCCTCCAGATGTGTGCATTCTTTTCTGAGACATGATTAACCAGTTGTTTTTTCCCTCACTCTAGCATCTTAGACAACACACTAAGGCACCAGAATGTAACTGCTGCGCCATTTAAGGTGGAAATGGAAAATTCAGATGAGAAGATGGCAAACGAGAAGCTGACTACAGCTTCACGACTTTTTGACATTGCAGATTAAACCAGCAGGAGTGACTATAAATGCAAATAAGTCCTTTTGTCTCCAAATTATCAATGTTAAAGGGTGAATTAGCAGTTATAGGCTACATTAACTCCAGCGTTTAAGACCGTTTATTATTAAAACTGTGTTGAACGATCAGCAGAGCTTTATTTTGCTGCAAAGGAG